TTTCCCAAGCAATGTCAGCAAGTCATCATGGTCATTGCTCATCAGAGTTTCGTATGTGTCTTCTACAATATCGTTCCGATAGTGCTTGAGGCGTTGCCGACCTCCAGCTATGAGATCGAGAGCAATTTCGCGACCCTCACGTGAGTTTACATCGAGTTCAAGCAGATCGATTAATTGAATAATGAATTGTTCGCTATCTGGTGTCATCGTCGCGCTGGTTCTATCATCCAATGTGATATCTTGAAGAGACGCTGCGGATGAGGGCCGAGCCGTAGAATCCGTCGCCGCCATAGTCAGATTCGTAGAGAATAGAATAAAACAATCCCTACTAGCTTGGCTTTGTCAGTAGCCTAGCGTTTAGAAACCAAAGTCCGATTTAAGTATTCTTCTGCGAGAGAAATTGAAACTGTTGTCGACTTAGTATCGTTGGTTTTTGTGCGATTTGGCGACGAAGTCTAGAAAAGAGATTCTCAATTAAAAACTATTTAAGAGTGCAATGGTGGCCAGTAACAATTCACGCGGGCGCGTGAAAAACTCCCTAGCGAAATGGAAAGTTTTCGGTGAAACTCTCGATTAGGGATGGAAAGTTACCGTTACTCGACAAAGTAACGGTAACTTCCCATTCCCACTCTCGATTCATCTAAAGGAAGCAAGTTTTCAGCAAGAGCCAAGCTAGGACTGATTCCGTGCTGCCAAAGAACACGAGTTCAATGTAAAACAAAACATGTGTGGCATATTAAGATCAAGAACTGGCCGAGAATTGCCCACTCAACTGCGTCTTTGGGTTCTACAGAAGAATACGCTCGTGAAAAAATAACAAAACTAAAGTGAAGAAATGTCTTTCTGGCCACAAACTAGGGAAAACCGTAGATAAACAATAGGACTTCTTTCTGTCTAAGACTGTAACGGACTGAATACGGACTATTGCACTTGGTAGATTACAACCACATAGAAAAGGTATGAGTCTCGACTGTGAATCGAACTCGACTGGTTACGAGGCAATGCTCTAACCACTGAGCAATCGAGAGACAGCTTCAACTCGTTTGCGGGGTGTTGGTGTGGATTTAGGTGTCACTAATCTCTTTAACGAAAGCTACACTCCACACCCCGATGGAACACGCTGAAGATATTCGCAGATCATGGTTCCTGTAGAAGTGGTTGGATAAGGTTCACTGATATTTGTATGAACATCTATATGCGCCCCTACAGAATTGTAGAAAAGTAAAGCAAGCGCACTGTGTGAGGGACTTTGGATTGCTTTCTTTCACTATAATTACAAAAGATAGTAGTGACAAATAAGGACTCACTTGAGTATAGAATTTTCTAAATCGTGCTACTGTAAGTGCCTGTTCTGAAGATATTAGTTGAATAGTAAGAGTTTCCAATGAATATCGAAGAACTCACTTCCAATATAAGTAAAATATCTGAAATAGAATAGTAATAATAATAATTTCTTCGAAAACATTTTGTTAAAATACTAATACAGGAAATGACGAACAATGAGTGAGAACGACGGCAAAGCTATCTTAAAATTAATAACATACAGCTATTGGAATAAAACAATGTTACTCCTTATATCAACTGGAACACCAGCATTACTTAACCAACGGAAAAAAATTTTAAAAAATCAATTCAAACAAAC